CATCATTGTTTTGCTCTGATTTACCAGTCTTAGTTTTGTTCCTCCCCTCCCAAAATACGAAAATACAACACTGGCTCACTTTTAAAAGCATTTAGCAGCGGTTGCTTGTTAAGACCATGCGTTTCTTGCGCATATTCTTTGCTGAAATTCGGTGGGCTCAAACTCGCATGTTCTGTGTTGACAAAAATTGTAAAAATCATCCATTGTTTTATTGGGTTTTTTAAAATATGGTTGGAAAGAAACTAAGAAGTACTTATAGAAAGAAAAGAAAGGGTAAGGCTTTCTCTGGGGCGCCAGCGTGGTAAAAAAACTTGGATTAAACCGCTCGTGAAAGAGGTGACAGCAGCAACGAAATTCCATCAACTAGCACCAGCACTGAAGACAGTTCATAGCAACTATCTACCCCTGTTGGAGCATCTAGACATAAGCTCAGTGATCGAGGTTTTTCTACTGAAACTTTGGACTTATTTAGTGCTGATGATGGTGAAAATGACGAGTTGATTGGAAGCAGTTACAGACTTGTTGATGCCAATGTTTTGTCATCTACACTGTCAGTCAGTGTCAGAAGTTCATAAGGTTGGTTACAATTTCTATGTTCTTTAAATCATAAGTTTGATACATTGCAATGGAATTGTACTTTCTTTCTGCCATTGTGATATTTAAATATTTTTTGTTTGAGATTTAATGAATGTTACAGTGTCAGTGTTTAGTAATATAATCTTGGAAATTATTGATTGTGTATACTGGTGATCCATTTCAGGCCAACTGAGTCTCACAGAATATACTAATTCCAGGGCTGGTCTGATGTCAGATTTCTTAATTGAATGCTCTTCCTGTAATAATTCAACCAAATTGAAAACATCAAAATGGACTGTCCACAAGGGCATGTGAACAGAAGAGCGGTGTACCATTCCTTGAAAATAATACAGTTTGCGGTTGCGTCAGCAGTATGCCGCTACCATGGTGGTGTGGCTTGTAGGCAAAAAATATGGAAAGACTGTCTACACCAGCTGGGAAACATACAGAAAAGGCCTGCAGTACTAAAGACAGAAAGAGAGTTGCAAAGTCATAGCTGCAGGTATCAGAAGAATTTAAACGCTGTCATGGGAGGATACGGCATAGAAAGTGCAGAGGGAGGAGGAATTATGAGAGGCAGAAGGAGTGACCTATGAGGCAGGAGGATATTAGATAGCTATTTTTTAGTCAGTGACAAGTACCAGAAACTTGAATAACAAGAAGGTACAAATGTATGGCATATTTATATGTTGTACCCACTGTTTGTATATACCAAACTTTAAAGTCCATTTCCCGAAACTTTGCATTTTCCGCATTTGAGAAAAGATATCTCCACAACAATTCAACCAATTTGGCTGAAATTTTCAGTGATGGTAGAGCTCAACTTGATAAGTAAATGAGCGATAGAATTTGGCATAGGGTGTATTCCCACCATTTGAGAGATGAAAAACTTTTAAAATTTTGATATTTATTTTGCGAATACTTTGGAATGATGTTGTATAAAAACTTTTTGCAATATCAAAAAATCTATCGCTCATTTCAATCTAATTGCATTGTGATCCACAAAAAGCTCATTGGAGTAAAATTATGTTGCATCTATGAAGAGCTATCTTTTCTCAAGCCTAACCTTATTTTCGAGAAGAGTGGTCATCTTTGAAAGTATATTATAGATGTAAATAATTAAGGTATAAGAATAAAAGTTATATATTTAAAATCCTTGTTTAATAAGCTTTCTGGTGATATATAGTTTTATGCAGTTATTAGTAATAGATGGCGAGCAATAAGCTTGCCAACCGGAACAGCTCGAAATCTCAAATTTCAGGTAGACCCCCACCTTAATATGCTAATTATGATCATGATCATCATAATGATCATCATGGTTGCCATGGCAACCATCATTTATTATGATTATTATGCTAATTTTGATCATGATTACCATAATGATCATCATGGTTGCCATTACAACAATCATTTATTTATGATTATTATGCGAATTATGATCATGATCATCATATTGATCATCATGGTTGCCATGGTAACCATGATTTATTATGATTAATATGCTAATTATGATCAAGTTCATCATAATGATCATCATTGTTGCATAGCAACCATCATTTATTAAGATTAATATGCAAATTATGATCAGATCATCATAATGATCATCATGGTTGCAATTGCAACCATTACTTTTTATGATTATTATGCTAATTATGATCATGATCATCATTATGATCATCATGGTTGCCATGGCAACTATCTTTTATTATGATTATTATGCTAATTGATAATGATCACCATAATGATCATCATGGTTGCCATGGCAACAATCATTTATTATGATTATTATGCGAATTATGATCATGATCATCATAATGATCATTATGGTTGCCATGGCAACCATGATTTATTATGATTAATATGCAATTATGATCAAGATCATCATAATGATCATCATAGTTGCCATGGCAACCATTACTTTTTATGATTATTATGCTAATTTTGATCATGATCATCATATTGATCATTATGGTTTCCATGGTAACCATAATTTATTATGATAATATGCTAATTATGATCAAGAGCATCATATGATCATCATGGTTGCCATAGCAACCATCATTTATTATTATTATTACACTAATTTGATAATGATGTTCATAATGATCATTATGGTTGCAATGGCAACCATGATTTATTATGATTATTATGCTAATTTTGATCATGATCATCCTATTGATCATCATGGTTGCCATGGTAACCATAATTTATTATGATTAATATGCTAATTATGATCAAGATCATCATAATGATCATCACGGTTGCCATTGCAACTATCACTTATTATGATTATTATGCTAATTATGATCATGATCATAATAATGATCATCATGGTTGCCATGGCAACCATCATTTATTATGATTAATATGCTAATTATGATCATGATCATCCTAATGATCATCATGGTTGCCATGGCAACCATCATTTATTATGATTATTATGCTAATTTTGATCATGATCACCATAATGATCATCATGGTTGCCATGGCAACAATCATTTATTATGATTATTATGCGAATTATGATCATGATCATCATAATGATCATGATGGTTGCCATGGCAACCATCATTTATTATGATTATTATGCTAATTATGATCAAGATCATCATAATGATCATCATGGTTGCCATGGCAACCATTACTTTTTATGATTATTATGCTAATTTTGATCATGATCATCATATTGATCATCATGGTTAGCATGGTAACAATAATTTATTATGATTAATATGCTAATTATGATCAAGAGCATCATAATGATCATCATGGTTGCTATGGCAACTATCATTTATTATGAATATTACACTAATTATGATAATGATGTTCATAATGATCATTATGGTTGCCATGGCAACCATGATTTATTATGATTATTACGCTAATTTTGATCAAGATCATCATAATGATCATCACGGTTGCTATGGCAACCATCACTTATTATGATTATTATGCTAATTATGATCAAGATCATCATAATGATCATCATGGTTGCCATAGCGACCTTCATTTATTATTAAATATGCTAATTATGATCATGATCATCATGGTTGCTATGGCAACCATCATTTATTATGATTATTATGCAAATTATGATCAAGATCATCATAATGATCATAATGGTTGCCATGGCAACCATAACTTATTATGATTAATATGCTAATCATCATCATGATCATCATAATGATCATCATGGTTGCCATGGCAACCCTCATTTATTATGATTATTATGCTAATTATGAACAAGATCATCATAATGATCATCATGGTTCCAATGGCAACCATTACTTTTTATGATTATTATGCTAATTTTGATCATGATCATCATATTGTTCATTATAGTTGCCATGGTAACCATAATTTATTATGAATAATATGCTAATTATGATCAAGATCATCATAATGATCATCATATTTGCCATGGCAACCATCACTTATTATGATTATTATGCTAATTATGATCATGATCATCATAATGATCATCATGGTTGCCATAACAACAATCATTTATTATGATTAATATGCTAATTATGATCATGATCATCATAATGATCATCATGGTTGCCATGGCAACCCTTATTTTTTATGATTATTGTGCTAATTATGATCAAGATCATCATAATGATCATAATGGTTGCCATTGCAACCATAACTTATTATGATTAATATGCTAATTATGATCATGATCATCATTATGATCATCATGGTTGCCATAGCCCCTCATTTATTATGATTATTATGCTAATTATGATCAAGATCATCATAATGATCATCTTGGTTGCCATGGCAACCATTACTTTTTATGATTATTATGCTAATTTTTATCATGATCATCATATTGATCATCATGGTTGCAATGGTAACCATGATTTATTATGAATAATATGCAAATTATGATCAAGATCATGATAATGATCATCATGGTTGCCATGGCAACCATCATTTATTATGATTAATATGCTAATTATGATCATGATCATCATGATGATCATCATGGTTGTTATGGCAACCCTCATTTATTATGATTATTGTGCTAAATATGATCAAGATCATCATAATGATCATCATGGTTTCCATGGCAACCATTACTTTTTATGATTATTATGCTAATTTTCATCATGATCATCATATTGATCATCATGGTTGCTATGGTAACCATAATTTATTATGATTTATATGCAAATTATGATCAAGATCATCATAATGATCATCATGGTTGCCATGGCAACTGTAGTGTTGTTGCATGTTATAGCACAACGTATATGATGTTAGATATAGGACAAGAGCGCGGGCTCAGAGGACGTACAAAAAACGTAGAAGAACACACGCTTGGTTGTAGTAGAAATAAGTATTACGAGTTACGTGAATAAAGTATATTTATCTTGTGCAAAAGACAAACTCTACAATTGGCGACGAGGATTATAATGGCTCAATTAAATTTAATGCCGAACTTGCCACAATTCGATGCTTATTCCGAGCCATCGTCAATCGCAACACGGTGGAAAGAATGGCTCGAACAATTCGAGATTTTTACAATTGCAGCTAAAGTTGAAGACAAGAAACAAAAGCGAGCGCTTCTTTTGCATATCAGCGGGCCAACTGTTCAGAAAGTGTTTAAAGGATTGACGGATACGGGAGACGACTACGATACAGCTGCCGCAAAACTCAACGAATATTTTGCTCCGAAGAAACATATTCGATATGAACGATACCATTTTAAACAAGCATGTCAACAAGACGGTGAGTCTATTGATCAATTCGCTTCTCGACTTCGTAACCTGGCTGAAACGTGTGAGTTTGAGAATATTGATGATGTTATTGCCGATCAAATTCTGGCTAATTGTAGCTCTAATAGACTGAAAGAAAAGATTCTTCGTGAAGAAAAAGCGGATTTGACCTTCATCTTAAAGCAAGGTCGTATTTTGGAATGCTCAAAACAACAAGCAGCTCGTATTGGTACCAACAGCCCTACAACTCCTGAGATCAGTGCCATTCAAGCAACACCTGCAAATCGCCCGCTAACAAGTAATGACCACCGACAACAGCCTAGAGGATATTGTAGAAATTGTGGTGAAACATGGCCCCATGTTCCCTCCAAGCCGTGCCCAGCATTTGGTAAATCCTGCCGTTCCTGTGGAAAGCAAAATCATTTTGCTCGAGTCTGCCGCAGTCGGCCCCAAAATCGCAACACCCAACGCCAAGGCCAGCAGCGTCCAAGACGTGAACAACTGAACCAAATCTCTGAAGACATCGTATCTGATGATGAGGAGGGATATATTTATGCAACCAATACTGACGGGGAACATGCTAATGTGATCTCCAGGCCTCAGCTTCCCGTTGTCATCAATGGTGTTGAAATTGTGATGATGATCGATTCGGGAGCATCAGTGAACATCCTCGACAAGGCAGCATATGAGCAAATAGTTACGCAGAATGATCATATTCAGTTGCAAAAGACGTCGACACGAATTTATGCCTATGGTGCAGCAGAACCTCTTGCCCTACTCGGAAAGTTTCAAGCCACTATTGAAACCTTATCAAGCAAAACCAATGGTTCATTTTACGTAGTTGATGGCTTCCATGGCTCCATCCTTAGCCATGACACTTCAGTCGCCTTGGGATTAATTTCAGTCCCACATTCCATCAACACAGTCAGTGCTCAAAAATCCCTACCGCAGTTATTGGAAGAATACCAGGATATCTTCCATGGAATCGGCAAGCTCAAAGATTTCCAATTCCAAATATATATAGACCCAGATGTAAAGCCTGTTGCCCAGCTGCCACGTCGTATACCTTTTCATATCCGAAAGCAAGTAGAGCAAGAAATCGAGAGCTTGGAACAGCAAGGCATCATTGAGGCGGTTGACGGCCCCACACCATGGGTTTCACCTGTAGTGGCAGTCCCAAAAACCAGCAACCCCAAGGAAATCCGTCTTTGTGTTGACCTCCGTCAACCAAACAAAGCTGTCCAACGCCAGCGCCATCCCACACCTACCATCGAGGAAGTCACAAACGATTTGAATGGGGCAAGTGTTTTTTCCAAACTCGACCTTCGTTCTGGATACCATCAAATTGAGCTTACACCTGCCTCCCGGTACCTCACCACATTTACCACGCATAAGGGCCTCCGCCAATATACCCGTCTCCTTTTTGGTTTGGCCTCAGCCTCGGAAGTTTTCCAACAAGTTATTCAACAGGCACTACAGGGAATCCCAGGCGTGAAAAAATTTCAGACGACATTATTGTGTTTGGGCGTACGCAAGAAGAACACGATGCTGCTCTAGCCGATACCTTTCAACGTCTGCGGGAAAAAGGTCTAACCCTCAACGGGTCCAAGTGTGTTTACAACAAGCAGAATCTGGCTTTCTTTGGGTATGTGTTTTCTGCAAAAGGCATGTCTGCGGATCCCAAGAAGCTGCTATCTGTGATGCCACCCCTCCCACGAATCCGTCAGAAGTCCGAAGTTTCCTTGGGTTAACCGTTTTGTTCCCGTTTTATTCCGAATTACGCCACATTGACGGAGCCGTTGAAACACTTGACCAGAAAAGGAGTGCGTTGGAACTGGGGGGTTCAGCAGAACAAGTCTTTTCTCGCTTTAAAAGAGTGTTTGACCAGCAACCGCACGATGGCTTATTTTGATCCTAGCAAGCGCACGATTGCCACGTTTGATGCAAGCCCCTTCGGACTGGGTGCCGTGCTAACGCAAGTTGACGCAGACGGACAGGAACGCTCTGTTGCATATGCAAGTCGTACGCTTAGCGATGTAGAACGACGATACTCGCAGACCGAACGTGAAGCACTAGCCATCGTTTGGGGTTGTGAGCGGTTTCATTTATACCTCTATGGTTCTCAGTTTGAAATCGTCACAGACCACAAGCCACTTGAAACCATTTTTAACAATCCCGCCTCTAACCCTCCAGCCCGCATCCAACGCTGGGCTTTGAGACTTCAACCGTACACCTTCACCGTGAAATACAGGCCCGGACCGCTGAACATTGCTGATTATCTATCACGCCATCCTTCGCGTTCCCAGACAACGAGAGAGCGGAAGATTGCTGAAGAGTATGTGAATTATCTGGTCGGCCATGCTATACCCAAAGCTATGACTCTAGAAGAAGTTAACAGTGCATCAAAAGCCTGACCCTATTTTCCAACGCCTTCGTCAGGCAATTACCACGGACGTTTGGCCAAACAATGATCCTGACCTTACCCCATTCAACAAAGTCAAGTTCGAGCTCACTGTTGCAACGGATTCCGACATCATCCTTCGGGGAACACGCGTAGTCCTCCCAAAATGTCTTCAATTGCGAGCAGTCAAACTTGCGCACGAGTCCCACCAAGGCATTGTAAAAACAAAGCAGCTCCTTCGAGAAAAGGTATGGTACCCTGGCATTGACAAGGACGTCAAGACAGAGATCGATGATTGCATCCCATGTCAAGCAACAAGCCAAAATGTGACACCAGAACCCCTCCAAATGACGACCTTACCAACGGCGCCGTGGAGCCAAGTTTCAACCGATTTTTGTGGCCCTTTCCCATCCGGTGACTACTTGCTAGTTGTCATTGACGATTACTCTCGGTATCCGGAGGTGGAAGTTCTTCGATCTACCTCCGCTGAAGCGACTATTCCGAAGTTAGATAGAATCTTTGCTACGCATGGGATTCCGGATGTTATGAAGTCTGATAACGGCCCCCCATTTAGTGGTCACGAATTCGCCAAGTATGCTAAAGAGAAAGGTTTTCAACACCGTAGAATTACACCACTATGGCCAGCTGCTAACGGCGAAGCTGAACGTTTTATGCGTACACTAAGCAAAGCCATCAAAACAAGCTCAATCGAAGGAAAGAATTGGAAGAAAGATCTACAACAGTTTCTCCTGCAGTACCGAGCTACGCCGCACTCGACTACCGGGAAGTCGCCGGCGGAGCTTTTGTTTGGTAGGAAAATCAAAACTAAACTGCCTGCAGTGCTCGTGCCACCTCTCGATGATGCAGAAATGCGTTCCAAAGACCGACAAGGGAAGAAGAAGATGAAAACCTATTCCGACCGTCGGAATCACCACAAACCTAGCCGCGTTTGTGTAGGTGATATGGTATTGATAAAACAGAAGCGAAAGAATAAGTTGTCCTCACGCTATAATCCTAAACCTGCACTTGTCACCAGGAAGAAAGGAACATTAGTGACCGTACAGAAAACAGATGGATCAACACTAAGCAGAAATTCCTCTCATCTTAAGAAAGTTACAAAACGGGCAGCAGAGCAGTGGGCAAACATTCCTAACGACAGTGGAGAGGATGATGATGATGATGACGATGGGAGCAACGAGAACAATGTAGAACTTCAAAACGCAGGTCAGGAACAGCGAGGTCAAAACCAACGACCAGCAAGAGAAAGGCGGCGTCCGAACTATCTTGGTGACTATGTGATGTATTAAAGCTAACATCTGAAACAACTTTAACATTAATAATAATTTGTTTTGTTGTGTTATGGTTACAGTTCGATAAAAGGGAGAGATGTAGTGTTGTTGCATGTTATAGCACAACGTATATGATGTTAGATATAGGACAAGAGCGCGGGCTCAGAGGACGTACAAAAAACGTAGAAGAACACACGCTTGGTTGTAGTAGAAATAAGTATTACGAGTTACGTGAATAAAGTATATTTATCTTGTGCAAAAGACAAACTCTACAGCAACCATTACTTTTTATGATTTTTATGCTAATTTTCATCATGATCATCATATTGATCATCATGGTTGCCATGGTAACCATGATTTATTATGATTAATATGCTAATTATGATCAAGATCATCATAATGATCATCATGGTTGCCATGGCAACCATTACTTTTAATGATTATTATGCTAATTTTCATCATGATCATCATATTGATCATCATGGTTGCTATGGTAACCATAATTTATTATGATTTATATGCAAATTATGATCAAGATCATCATAATGATCATCATGGTTGCCATGGCAACCATTACTTTTTATGATTTTTATGCTAATTTTCATCATGATCATCATATTGATCATCATGGTTGCCATGGTAACCATGATTTATTATGATTAATATGCTAATTATGATCAAGATCATAAATCTAATGATCATCATGGTTGCCATGGCAACCATTACTTTTAATGATTATTATGCTAATTTTCATCATGATCATCATATTGATCATCATGGTTGCCATGGCAACCATCATTTATTATGATTATTACACTAATTATGATAATGATGTTCATAATGATCATTATGTTTGCAATGGCAACCATGATTTTTTATTTAATATTATGCTAATTTTGATCATGATCATCATATTGATCATCATGGTTGCCATGGTAACCATAATTTATTATGATTAATATGCTAATTATGATCAAGAGCATCATAATGATCATCATGGTTGCCATAGCAACCATCATTTATTATGATTAATATGCTAATTATGATCATGATCATCATGGTTGCTATGGCAACCATCATTTATTATGATTATTATGCAAATTATGATCAAGATCATCATAATGATCATAATGGTTGCCATGGCAACCATAACTTATTATGATTAATATGCTAATCATCATCATGATCATCATAATGATCATCATGGTTGCCATGGAAACCCTCATTTATTATGTTTATCATGCTAATTATGATCAAGATCATCATAATGATCATCATGGTTCTAATGGCAACCATTACTTTTAATGATTATTATGCTAATTTTGATCATGATCATCATATTGATCATCATAGTTGCCATGGTAACCATAATTTATTATCATTAATACGCTAATTATGATCAAGATCATCATAATGATCATCATGGTTGCCATAGCAACCATCACTTATTATGATTATTATGCTAATTATGATCATGATCATCATAATGATCATCATGGTTGCCATTGCAACCATTACTTTTTATGATTATTATGCTAATTTTCATCATGATCATCATATTGATCATCATGGTTGCCATGGCAACCATCATTTATTATGATTATTACACTAATTATTATGATTATTATGCAAATTATGATCAAGATCATCATAATGATCATAATGGTTGCCATGGCAACCATAACTTATTATGATTAATATGCTAATCATCATCATGATCATCATAATGATCATCATGGTTGCCATGGCAACCCTCATTTATTATGTTTATTATGCTAATTATGATCAAGATCATCATAATGATCATCATGGTTCTAATGGCAACCATTACTTTTAATGATTATTATGCTAATTTTGATCATGATCATCATATTGATCATCATAGTTGCCATGGTAACCATAATTTATTATCATTAATACGCTAATTATGATCAAGATCATCATAATGATCATCATGGTTGCCATAGCAACCATCACTTATTATGATTTATATGCTAATTTTGATAATGATCACCATAATGATCATCATAGTTGCTATGGCAACCATCATTTATTATGATTATTATGCAAATTATGATTAAGATCATCATATTGATCATAATGGTTGCCATGGCAGCCATAACTTATTATGATTAATATGCTAATTATGATCATGATCATCATAATGATCATCATGGTTGCTATGGCAACCCTCATTTATTATGAATATTATGCTAATTATGATCAAGATCATCATAATGATCATCATGGTTGCCATGGCAACCATTACTTTTTATGATTATTATGCTAATTTTGATCATGATCATCATATTGATCATCATGGTTGCCATGGTAACCATAATTTATTATGATTAATAAGCTAATTATGATCAAGATCATCATAATGATCATCATGGTTGCCATGGTAACCATAATTTATTATGATTAACATGCTAATTATGATCAAGAGCATCATAATGATCATAATGGTTGCCATGGCAACCATCATTTATTATGATTATTACACTAATTTACGACTCTCGCGGAAGGGATGTATTTATTAGATAAAAACCAATGCGGCTTCGTTGATTTCTAATGCAAATAGAGGGGGTCTATTAAACATAGACTCACAAATTCCTGTCGGAGAGAACGAAAACGGCGAAACAGAATGGAAAACAACGCGTGAAGTTTTACTCGAAAAGCATCCCCACGGTTGCGCCCCTGCTGCAGAAACACTTTTAACAGTGTCGGATATTGAGGACGTACATCATGATCCAATTATTTTTGAAAGAATTACCGGGGAAGAAATAAAGATCGCGGCAAACAACACACAAGGTGCAGCTGGTCCATCAGGAGTTGATGCATATGCATGGCGTCGCTTTTGCTCG